AGGAGTAGCAGCAGGAGTAGTAGTAGTAGTAGTAGTAGTAGGAGGATGTGATGTGATGTGATGTGCTGTGCTGTGCTGTGATGTCATATGATGTGATGTGACGTGACGTGACGTGACGTGATGTGATGTGATGTGATGTGGTAGTTGTGATGTTATGTAGTACGACGACGATGCCGACGACCAAGACAGCAACAGGAGACCCCGTTTCGATTTTGCTACGAGTACTCAGTAATCACAATCGGAGACTGTCACGCATATCTGATTACCCAAACCCTCATCAGGACAGATGCGAGCATTGGCGCAAAGCGGTGAAGTTGAATTGGACAGTCCGTACTCACAGTGCTAAGGTATGACGCCCTGTGTGCTGCGGACGCTCCCGCCGGGCAGCTACTTGGGTGCAGGTAATGACACCGTGCTGTAAAGCAATGCCGGAAATCTATCCTGGAAACAAACCATGTCGCCCATCCAATAGTAGTAACCGTATCAGCAACAGCTCATCATCACCGCAACATCATCAAACGAAGAAAACAAGGGTGCTGCAACCCTCATCCACGTTCTTTGTTGATCCTGTCAGTGCTCGACATTGCGCGACAAGCATAGCACCCTGACTCTAAAGGGAGGAGAAGAGGGGCCTGGTGAGTTAGAGGCTAAAGCTGAAGTCGGCCTTGGGACCGACCTATAGTCTCCATTGTAGTTCCTTTTTGGGGATGCCATATAAACTCCTTAATATATAATTGGTTAAACCAAAAAAAGGGAACTACAATGGAGACTACAGGGAAGCTTTAAAGGGTGTCGGCTTCGGCTCCTGGAGTCTCCTGGGCTCTCGAGGCTCAGGGGCCTTGAGGACGAATTTTAGGAGGAGAGTGCCTCCGCATATCAAGTCGGGCGAGTATAGATCGTGCCGCTGTTGGTGGGGTGCCTGGCTCTTCACTGGAATGGCGAGGCGGGTCGCTCTGAAAATCGCTGGCTGTTTTATCTGGCAAAGTCGCCACCGTTTTCCCAGAGTTCCTTCTATGGCCTCTCTTGCGCGTCATCGCGCAGCTCATCGCTTGTGGGTATTCCCAGGCTCTTACCTTCAAGGGTACCCAGTGCTTTTTCTGCTAGTGATGATGACTATGAATATCATCATTGTCGTCATCTCTCAATTGCCATCACGAGCACGACGTTCGATGCCACTGCCACTGCCCTTTCTATCGTCCGTCATGATTCGGGTCGTACATTTTCTATATGTAGTCGGTATCCTCACAGCAATGCCGCACTTACAATCATTGCTGAACCAGTTCCGTCTGAGGGCTTATACTTATAATTGCTTTGATTTGGCCCTCGAGGCCCCTCCCCCAGCGACCCGCACTGCTGTGAAGCCGACCTATGAGGCTTGGAGAAGGTCATTTTCGATGCATACCGACAGATGAAAGCACACAAGGCGCGACTCGGTTTGCTTTCTGCACGCCGCAGAGTGCAGATTTTCCGGCTGCCCCATGCCCCTTGCACCATCACAGTACCTTCGACCAGGCGTACCTCTGGGGAGTAAGCACTTCGCAGAATGCCCGGCACATGAAGGCCGGACAAGGAACGGTGTGACGCCAGAAGGGAATAAGGTACTGTAGCAACCTCCAGGGTTCTTAATCCCCAAGCTACCTCGGATCTATACTCAGACTACTACATGAGATTCATGCTCCAAGCTATCATTGAGATCCAGCAAGCCCATTCCCGGCTCTTCTTGAAAAATTCTCTTTCCATCTTGCAGCATTAAACCCAAAGGACTTCTGAACCCTAAACCATAAACCCTAAACCCTAAACCCCTTCTATAATAGTTCTTATTCTGGGTCCCAGGAGCCTTCTCGTGCCTGGAGGTCTATGGCCTGTCGAAGCGGAACGGCCTCGTCAACGGGTATTTGAACGGGTACATCAGCCGACCCAAGTGCATCTCGACGAAGCGAATTTACCCTAAACTACCAGAACCTAGTTTTTTTCGGTTTTCATTATAAACCCAATTTAATATAGAATCTATAGGGAAACTACACAGACGTCGGTTATGGTAGTTTAGGGTAGAGTTGCGATGTCCAGCCAGCTATGAGGGTTTCTTGGAATGAGTATCATTATTGAAGTGCTTAGGGTCTGTCATGTTCTGAAATACCATTATCACAGAACAGTACAATAAGTAGCCCAAGCGATTAAGCTAGAGCCCTCCCTAGGAAACTGGACATTGTATCGGGCACACCGGCTGGAGGCCATTATTCAAGAGCCAGTCCTTGCATCCTGCTACAGGCAAGGCACTATTCCGCACCCTCACCGATGCCACCGAAGATTCGGAGTTTGCCGTGCGACACTACGCGAAGGACCATGCTACTACTAGCGCAGGGGGGTATCAAGATGCCACTGCAGAACCTAGGCCCATGGCGCTGCCAGTATCTGACTTACTGCCCCTCTTCGGATCCCCCAGTTCCAAACGGAAGGTTGACTTATCAAAGGGACCTTACAAGCGAACAGAATTGAGAGCACTACTCACGTGAATCCGCTCCTCCACTGACCTTGGCTCTCTCCTGGATCTTTCGAGCTTCGGAACGCCCCTACTGAAAAACGCAGGGCGCTTGGCAAATAGCATTGGGGAAAGGGCTCATTTAGGATTTGTACGGCCGGAGGTTATCTGTGGGGTTCTTCAGGACGCGTTTCGTGAAGGGTTTCAAAGGTCAGGGCAGGAACTACGAAGCTGACAATGAAACCGTTCTTATCCTCAACTAACGCGATTGCAGCCCTGTGCACGACCCGCTAGCCAAGTCCGCTGATCCGAATTGAAAAGAACTATCAGTTAACTCCCAAACCCTAAAGCCTTCATAATCGTGTCGCCAGCTTTAAGCTCGAACATAGACCCCTCCTCAACACTTCGGTATAGAAGCTGTCGAATCTTGGTGGAATCATGCACTGATGTACTGGAGCCTTGGGAGGATGGTGTGGTGCTGCGCTATCGTGACCCGACGGCATTGAGGGTTTGCAGGTGCACCCTTCAACTCTTGAAACCCTAAACCCTAAACCCTAAACCCTAAACTGAAGGCTGCAGACCCCAGCCCTTTCACCTTATTAGGGTTTAGGGTTTAGGGTTTAGGGCCAAGCCATAAACCCTAAACGGCAGACCTCTCAAGCCCCACTCATAAACCCTATATCCTCAAACCCCAAACCCTATCAACCCTCCATCCTTGTCATTGTCGATACCTGTTTGACAACGCCAGAAGTGCTGGTCTGAGTTACGATCAATGTTGCTGTTCCAGCGAATTTGGGAAAGATCTGCCTCACGAGCTTCTTGCCGTCAGGTCCCTATCCCGCCCACCACTTTGCAATCAAAACAGTTGGACAGCGAAGTCAGGCTGCCAGATCCTGCAACTACACGTACCTTAATTTGTGTCATGGGCAATCTTTGCCAAGCCGGTCCATCTGCGTGGTGTGGCTTTTCCAGGTATGTACGCCGGCATCACTAGTCCCTACCTCAATCGAGGCTTGCAGGGACCGGGCGGCGATGCGTCGGCATCACCTGTGTGACTCACCCTCACCCACTAACCCAACTGGCATGCTGAGCGTCAGCATTGAAATATCCCAAGCCGTAATCAAGCTGGATGTTGACATGTCGGGTCTGAAAGATTCACAGGGCTCCGAACCCCTTATCAAGGATTTCTCTGTCCAGAAGCATGAAGCCGGACGGGAATGTTAGAAGTTTCCTTTGGTTATAGATCTTGTTAGAAATGGTCCATGGTATTAATATCGTATGGACGAAGGCGCCAAGACGGCTACAGGGAATGTAGCTCCTCAGCTTGGAGAAGGGAAGTAATGAACAGAAGCAGATGTAAGGGAGTTCAGAAACTCAGGCACGATCCCTTGAGGCATGACTTGCATGTTTGATTTGGGCATGTGTGGCAGTCTTGGATAGGTGGCAGAGGCAGTGAGTGCATACAGTAGCAGGCGGGCTGCAGAAGAAGTTCGAAGCGAGTGGGGAATCTTGGATCAAGTAAATAGCACTGCTGTGTGGATGGGCTGTTGCAAGTTCAGAGACTCAGCAGATGGCGGTTGTTTTACGCAGAGCCATGTACCACACGGCCCCAAAAGCAGAATCCCGACGGCTTCGTTGCTTGTTTGGGAGATTGGAACTAGTTTGATATGATACGCAGCTGCAGACGCGTCTGCTAGAACAGGGATACATGAAAGCATAGATGCCCTGCAAATACAATTACACAAGACTCGAATGGCTAGTACTTCTCAGATTCTCAGATCGTTCTTCGGCTCGAGTCATCTCAGAGCCTCTGGTCATATCTGTTTCTAGATTGCTTGAAACTGGAGCCGCACCATGAGAGCAACATCCCGCTTTCTATTGCATCAGGAGCGTATCACAGCTGAACAGCGGGGTGAAGCCCGGAAGAAGGCCTCCTGCAGGGGCGATTGGATCTTGCCCGGGCATGACGCCGAGCTACTTATAACAAGAATCTAGGGTTTAGGGTTTAGGGTGCGTCGTAGTCAAGGGGTTTTTGTGTCCAGAGCCACGGCTTGACAGAGTGATGGCCGACATCACGTCGTTTGAGTTGGCCTGTCAGGCTGATGCTGCCGTGTGGCACGGCCTGTCACCATGTTGTTTCAAACCCATTAAGCTGGCGGGTGTAGTGCGGCCTCACACAGTGGGGCCATCAGGATGCATCACCGGGGAGAGAGAGACAGAGAACAAGTATTGAGACGCAAGGTAAAATCAGCAGCCGTACAACATGTGCACAGTTTATGTGTGTATACATATATATATATATATAGATGTAAAGTATGCACGCATGCATGCATGCATGTGTGTAATGCAATGCAGATGCAAATGCCAATGCCCATGCCAATGCAACTGCCAACGCAACGTAATGTAATGTAATGTATTGTATTTATGTATGTGCATGTATGCACGTATGCATGCATGTATGCTTCATGCATTATGTATTTACAGACGCAGGATTGGGTTTTTACACCTTTGACTATTTACTTAGCCGTGCTACAGACAGGGACCAGCAGCTCATGTGCCAGGAGGAACGCTGGGGTGCAATGGAGCTTCACAAGCGCCTGGCCTGCACATTTTTTGGGGGAACTCCCAGCGGTTGGATTTTTGTGTGCTGTGTAGACCGAAGTGTGTTGCAAGGATGTTCCCGCAGCTCGTGGGACTTCCCAAGAAGCGTCGGGACAAGAAGACCATGGAGGCACTCCGGGCTATTGCGGGAGCTAGGATTAGGGGGAATCTTGGGGATATAGACCCTCTCAATAAGGTCCCTTTCAAGAGGGCCAAAAGTAGGGTTCAGAAGGGGTACCCCTAATAATACTACCTATATTGGCGGAATGTGAAGAGGGTTCCGGGGTCTGAGCTCTTGTGTCAGAGAGGCTTTGCCTAGGCTCAAGTGTCAGAGAGCCTCCATGTTCAAAAGGAGCTTGCGGCTTACAGCCTTACTTTTTCCATATATGCCCCACAGAGACAGCTTCAGAGCGGAGAATGCGTAAAGGCGCCCTCGACTCTAGGGGGGAGAATGTGGGCGAATGAACGGGCCCCCGAAATGCTGTTGGCTTTTTTTGGGGGGCTCTGGCGGCTTGTTATCAGGCCAAGTTGAGTGCCAGTTCAGGATGGTCGTCGCCCCAAGTAATGGGGACTCACACCCCCAACCATAACGTACAAACATAGTCCCGTGATCCTTTAAGGAGTCCCGATGGCACAGTTCTGGGTACCCCCCCAAAGCCTCAAACAGCTGGGCGGTGCGAAGAAAGCCTCAAACCCAAAACAGAGCCCGTTGCGGCCTAACCAGAAAACTTCATCTCTCCTGTCCATGGTAGTTGCAGGGTACCGTTTGAAACCTGGACCACCAGCCCCGCCTCCCGGCCTACGATCCAGGTGAACTTCCACAGCATGGGCTATCCGCCAGGCCTTCGTTTCGGCTTTGCAGCTTAAGGAATTTTGTGGGTTTGAAGGGTTTTGGGGCTCCGGGCTTGGATCAGGATTTGGGGCTTACGATTTGTGTTTCGGGTTTGTTCCTGGCTGCAGTGGGCCCTAAACTCGGCAGCAGTATAGTACAGCATCTCCCTGGCACAGGCTCGTAGATGCCTGGAGTTGTAGTGTACATCAGCTGGCTGGTTGTGCAGCTTCAAGACCAGATGCCGGATCCTAGAGTTGTAGCACCAAGCGGGCTGTCTTTGATGCCAGGATTCCGATGTAATCCACTTTGTTTATGGCTTAATTCTTAAGTTAAGCCCCACAGGGAAACTGCTTATTTGGCGTGTTACTGGACTCGGATGTGTAGGGTGGGGGGTGTCCCAGAAAGCTCGAACACCTCTTGAATTCGTGAATCTTCCGTCGATTACAAGGGCCTTCCCATTCTGACTTAAAATTTAAAGTGTGTTCCACGTTTCGGTAGCACGGCATCGTCGGGTGTGCCCGGGGCATACAGGAGGTGTGGACAGACAGGGCCCACAATACTGCAGCCCGCCATGTAAGGAGAACCTGAGGCTCAAGAGCGTGGTAGTTCCCTGATTCCTGAATGCTCCCACAAGTAGTAGGCATCCAAAAACATAATTAAAGCACGTGTAGAGTAAGCATCAGAGCTCTAGGATCCCTGCAAACGGCGTCGTTGAGGAAGGGACGCTCACTACTCAAAAGTTTATAAATTCCGCTTCCCGGCCCTCGTTGTGCTTTCCGGCAGGCGAGGGAGGCAAAAGGAAGCGCATTGCCCCTCGATTCATGGATGCTGACCTGATCCGCTACAGACCTGAGCACCGTGACAGCAACTGCTTGAACAGTGCGGGTACATGTGATAACGAGGCATGGCTGCTTATGCTTCTTGCCGTCGTGACAAGGAGCTGTATTCCGTGAGGCATAGTCCGCGGCAGCGGGGCCCTAGGTCAATAGGTTCCCTTCCTCCGGTGACAAAGTTGTTCTGTCAGCACACCCTAGAGTGTAAAGTCGCCTACTGTTGTGTGAAGTTTTTGGACCGTTGGAAACGTAGGCTAGGTTTTGGGCTGCTGTTGTCTCCATTTGTGCATCTCTTTGATGTTGCTGCCACGACCAGCAGCACCACCACCATCACCACCACTTCCACGAACGACGGCATCGCGACGACGACGACGCTGGCGACGAGGACGACGACTACCACTGCTACTGCTACCGTTTCCGCTACCGCCACCAAGACGCACCATGTGCTCCAGTGAGGAACCCGAAACTGTGGGGATGCCATGCCTACAAGCTCTACGAGAGCTACAAGAGATCAAAGACCGGCATGTGACACTGATGGTGTAAGGCAGTTTAGGGTCTTTCAGTTGAGGGTTTTAGGGTACAGCGTTAAGGTTTTTGGGGCTTGGGGATGTTTAGGGTTCAGGGATGATGCTGAGGATGAGGACCTGCTATCTCATGCAACAGCTCACCCCTGTGCACTTGGGATCTCGCAATGTCCACTTCGCCTGCCCACCAGGCGAGGAAGTCGGAGGTACCGGTCACTTCACGGGACGATCTCTGTGCAGACGTTGTAGCCCAATCTGGCGCTGCAAGAATCCTAGGTCTTAAGACCTAAGTTCATTCCGATGTACTAAACCCTGAAACCCGGAAGCTAGCCTGCACTGAATGATGTTCTGCTGCTGTTGTCCGTGAAGGATTGACAATTGAGGGTCCCTCTGAATAATGTTCTGGTGTTTATGTGACCCGTTGTGGTTGTTGAATTTTTCTCAACAGAGGAGTACGTTGCAGTGAACCCCGACTTAGGACAGTATAAGAAAGCATACCCTGTAGAACTCCGTTGAACATTGAACAGCCCCCCATATTTTGCCAGGACGCTGCGAGAGGCCGTGCGGCTCGGCGCGAGGCCCATCGACTTGGCCCACGACTACAACTGGGGCTTTCTCACAGCCCTGCGCCCGGAAAGTCTACGATAACATGATGAGCAGCATCATCGTTTGCAGTTGCCATTTCTAGCGTTGTTTAAACTGGGAAATCTATCATTGAAACTCGATCTTGTGACTATTGGCAGCCTGCGTGCTCAGTAGTTGCAGGCATGTCATGTTGCTAGTGTTCCGCATGTTACGTTCGCGGCGTTTGAAGTACTTCTTTCATCTCGTGCAGCCGGCTAGGTGCCATGTTTTCAAGAGGTTGAGAACTTCTATTGGTTGTTCGTGTAAGTGCAGGAATACTCGATAAACGGACGGAAAAGCGCAAGTGTTCGTGTGCCTTGGGCTTTCAAGCCCACGTCGAACCTGCAGCAAAGACCTCGCCCGGCTGCGCCCAGTTGTGAGTGCTGAAACCCCAAGTCCTAAAGTTACAGCAGTTCCGCTTGGACGCCTGTTCGTGTCACTGCTGTGACACGAACCATGAGTCTGCGGATACCTGCGATCGCCGGATCCTGACATAAGCAAGGGGTGTGGCAGCAACGACCAATTCGAAAACCTCATGGGCTCTGAAGTTTAGGTCTGCCTCACTGAACAGCTCGCAACGAACGTGCTGACCTCTCGGGACTTCCTTGTCATGTCTCTGCCCGTCTTCCGGTAATTCCTGGACACCGAAGCGAGGCGCCAACGCTTAGATTCGCAGGTTTTCGCGGCCTAGAGATCTTCGTCGGGGGCGCTTGGATTCGGACCTTTTTGGTGCCTTGCGCCCGTTCTTTTCCTGGTGACCTCGAAGCTTACATCTTTGCTACGATGCTTCGCGGCAATCCTGTTTGCATACATTTCTCTCGATTCCTACACACCTGATGGAACGTGAAGGCATGACAGGCAAAGCTCCAGCGCCGTCTCAAAGAGAGGAGGAGGATGTTTCAGACTCCGCCGGACCCAATCGCGTTCAGCTTTGATCTGTATTTCAACAGCATCAAGCTCAGAACGTGTCCGCAGAGTTGTATGCAGGGTTTCAGGCCTGAGATTTGTCCAATATTTCTTTCAGGTTAGGATAAACTTCGGCAAGTCCTCCATCAAATGCCCGCAAGAAGCAGCGCAAGCTACCGTTCAAGAAGTTGTCCCTGTTTCGCACTAGGCCGTTGTAAATGGACGGTAGCCCGAGCAGGACCACAAGCTCTGAGCGCATTTGCTCTGTGGATTCGTTTTCGTGTCTGGTCGCAGGTTGTGGTCATGACATAAGTGGCCCAATGCTGCAGCCCTCATGAGATGCATTGTGCACATTGACGCCTCGCCTGTAATGTCCAAGCTGGGAGTCGAGACCTTGAAACCCTAAACCACGAAACCGCAAGCCCTAAGAGTAGTTCTCAAGGTCCGGCGCTTGTCTTTGAACTTGCCATGGGAGGTGGAGATCAAGGACAGCCATAGAAGCCCTCGAAACCTCCAAGGTGTCTCTTAGTATCCATCCCCAGCTTCTTTACTTTCACTGGTTCACCTTCACCACTGAAAAGCCCAAAAAACTTGGCAAGTACGTTTTATGCCAAGTACGGAACCCTTACCAGCCGCTCTATATCCGACTTGCTAAGACCGGTCATGCAAGTGCCTTGGGAACACTTAATGGATCATGGGACTTAGTAAGTAGGGTTATAAATAGGGTAACTATACTTATAACCCCAATTAAGGGACTTAGAACCTTACTTACTAAGTCCCATGATCCTCCAAGTAGATTTAGGGTGTAGGGATTCGCTTTTGTGGGCCCTTACATTCGCTGGGTCAGATCAGAGGGTCCGTGCCTGGGCCCTGCAGAGGTTTAGCTTAATGTAGGGGCCTAAAGAATTACCATAGAATTACCTATGCTATTTTGGGGGTTCATTCTTATAATTATAGTATAATGGGCCCCAAAACCGTATTCGAACTATTAAGGCCCCTATATTATCCTTGAGCGTTTGGAGTTTGACTTGTCAACTACATTTTGTGGCACAGAAGAGAGCGCCAGATTCAAAAAGGCCTTGGGGCACCACTTCACAAATTGTGGGCTTTGACGTTGCTTGACCCAGATCTTCCAACATGCCTATGCCTGAATTAGGGAGCATGGCTGGGGTCACGACAGAAGACCCAGATTGACTCAAAGAGTACCCGGTACTGAACGTATATTGGAAGTCCTGCGTAATCCATCATCTTTGTCTAGCTATAGCCCCCAAAGAGGTCCAGTTGGGCCTTGGGGTTTAGGGCTTAGGGCTGGGGATGTTCGGGTTCAAAAAGCGAACCATGAGTTCCACTTGGAAACTGAACAAGCAAACACTGATGTGCTGTTGGCCTCAGAGAAAGCTCAGCGTACAGTAGCTCACGTCTCAGAGAGCGTTCTCCGACGTAGACATGTAAGCCTTAAAAAACCCAATCCGAGCAGGTACCCTGCAAGGAGTGGCACAGCATCTTACAGCAAAGCGTAGCCCTAAAGACCAGCATCCGACTTCCCCCCTCTTGCAAGGAGCGACCTCCTCCTGCGCAGCGGGTTGGCTTCAAGTGGGCTCAGAAGCCTCGAAAGAAGGCCTCCAACCTCTTTGGTTTCGGGAATGGGCTAGGGCTGTTTAGGCCAGTTCGGGGCTTTTTAAATTGATCATGTCAACCCTCCCGAATTGCAAGCGCTTCAGCACGAACGGGGCTACGATGTCACAGGCGTGGATCAAGACGGGCACGACGGCATTGAGTGGCACAGCTTGTGGGAGTTCAGACCACCGGGGAGGCCACCAAGAGACCACCAATTGACTAGGAGACCACGACGCCAGGAAACCAACATGGCGCTACCAGGAGGGACACCAGGAGACCAAGAAGACACCAGGAGGCCACAAAGACCACTAAGAGACCACCAGAGAGCACCGACATACCAGGCGCTTGCAGCGGACGGACCGTCAAAGCACCTAAGATCTTCGCCTTTTTGGCTGAAGCCCGAAATCCGAAAAAGCAAACTCGAAAGCCCGAAGCCCCGATACGGATGTGTCCGGGCTGGTTACAAGGCCGACGTAAAGTATTTCTTATTTCTTTGAAGCTGACATGTGACTCACTCGCTGTCAATCTGAGCCCCCGATTCTCCAGCGAGGCTTGACCCTTGAACCTTCAAGCACTGGTCCCTTATAAGAACCCTTGTGGTACCTCCTGTGCTCGCTCTCTCCCTTTTATTCTCTCTCTGTCTCGCACGCGTTCTCGCTCAATTTCACGTAGGGGGTGGGGCTCATCATACAACGCTTCTTTCTGATCGTGATATATAGTCTTATCAACTTGTATATCATGTTAGAATCGAAGGACGCTGAGCATGCGGCTTAAAGTGTTGAGCCCGCAGGAGGAGGAGATGTTCCACAAAATCGACGATTCCATCTGCCGAGTGCGTATCAAGGTCTTCTAGACGCATCGAGCAAAACTCGATCGATCCCTGTGGGTTTGCTGCGCTGCACATAGAGTCCAATCTCTGCCTTGAACATGGTCCGCGCTTACATCTCATGAGGGCGGCAGCGGCATTTCACGTGGCAACCGCCAGCTCTCCATTGAAGCCATCGCAACCTCTCCCAGAATCAAAGAAATGCCGGTTACTCTAAACCTTCAAGCCAAACAGCCCTCTCCATGCATCAGCGATCGTAATTAGCGGTCATCGACCGGCATCTGATTCCGGATGCATCCCAAACTGCCACGGACTCCCTGAACCACAGAGAAGCCCTGCCTGGCTGGTCAGAGTGAGCCATCGCACCTAAGGACATGAGCTTGGGTCATCAAGGCCTCACATTGCCAAAGGCCGAAGCGGTGGGAGGGGTCAGAGCGATGGTGCTTGATCGAGCTTTCGTTGCCGGCCTAAGGAAACAGCTCGTTTTGTGGTCTAGCTTTCCACTGCTGGAAACAACCTTCAATGCTGACACGTGCACACACACACACACATGCCAACTCAGCGACTGCGTTCCTAGTCAAAGCTGCTAGAAGCTTCACCGGGTCACTAGGTGTTGTCTGGGCATGTACTCTCACAATGGCTGTGCCTGTGGATAGCACACATCAGGCCCGGCGAAGACTAATCTCGCCGGCATATGTCGGTATGAGCCCTTTAGAAAGGTACCCCTTACATGTGTCATAGCACGGGCCCTGTGCCAGAAAACGCTGATACCACTGGCGCGGCGGGTGCCACAGCACTTCCGGAGACTGGGCTGGAGCTTTTGGCTTACCCAGAGAGCCCAATACCCTTTAATTAAGGAATATACCTTAAATCGCAATATTAAGGCCCCTGTGACCTATGATTTAAGGTATATTCCTTATTTAAGGGGTATTGGGCTCTCTGGGTAAACGGAGGTTGAAATCACATGCTGCACCAAGCTCAGTGCAGTAGCCCTGCTATGCAGACATGCGTGTTCCGGTTCCAAGCATGTTCACCAGCTAGATCCTTATGCTCCGGGCGGCTCCCTGCCACCCTAACTTGGGGCAGACACTGAGGAAGCTTGAGCTGAACGACTTGACGAAGGAGGAGCCACGCCCGAAACCCTTGGCTCAAACTCAAACCTCCGATCCCAAAAAGGTAGACCTTAAAACTCCAAGACATACACCTTAGAGGTCCTAAACTATACCTTCAAATCCTATCGCACTGAGCCCTGAAAAAGAGAAAAGCAAGGCCGTCTGGAGCATAGTGTTTAAGATTATTGGGGCTCCATTCAGAGTACTACAAAGCGGGCTCCTGCTGCAAAATTTCCCTTAAGAGCTCCTTTATGAGTTCCCTTCATGGTCTTTTCTGGCTACTCTGCTGCGTGGCACGGCAGATCAGTGCCATGCACTAGCGGTGAGGGGTTCGGGCGAAAGGCCCGGAAAGAATTGTGCAGGTTTGGTGTAAGTGTTTGTTCTGAGTCAATGTTGGCGTTTTCGTTTGAATACCAAGTTTAGTTTCGACCCTTGCGCGTCAATTTGATGTGCAGCTTCTACCCCTGTGAGGACGGTCCGTTGAGCTCGGTTCCCATGTTGCTTGGCCAAGATGGATGACATGATGGACGGAGTGGAAAGCAATCCGATTGTAATCGAACCGACGGTATTTGTGCATATCGTCTTTGCCTGCCTGTACGTGGTATTCAGTCAAAAGCTTGCCCCCCTGCTGCTAGTGCGACCACTGCTGCTGTTGAGTATGCCTATGAACTGGTCTGGGGCCCGCAAAACGACATAAGCATAAGTACTCTACAGGATGTCCCTACCTTATTGGGCTTCAGTACAAGGGATGTATCCGGGACATCCCTCCGTAAATTTAGCTTACGTGCTTTTGGCGCCCTCTGGTCTTCGCCATCGTGGCAATGAGATGGGTGAATGCAAGCGCTATGGTTTTCCCATCATCAACATCAGCAGCACCTGGAACAGTAAAAGATCGGGGACATGTCAAGCCTTTCCGATCTTCGTCATGCGGAACACCAAGCCTTGAACATCGAAGCTGTAGTTTCCCTGAGACTTCGTAGGACAGTATACTGTAGATTGAAACAGAATCATACTGCCAGCCTCTGAGTGTGAGAGCAAAACAACCATGTTTGTGTGTATGCATGTATTTATGCATGTATGTATGTATGCATGTATGTATGCGTGTATGTATGTATGCATGTATGGATGTATGTATGGATGTGTGTACGTGTGTATGCATGCATGCATGGATGCATGCATGTATGTATGCATGCATGCATGTTTGTATGTATGCATGCATGTCTGCATGTATGCATGTATGTATGTATGTATGTATGTATGTATGTATGTATGTATGTATTTTTGTATGCATGTATGTCTGTATGTCTGTATGTCTGTATGTCTGTATGTCTGTATGTCTGTA